GAGAGAGAGAGAGAGAGAGAGAGAGAGAGAGAGAGAGAGAGAGAGAGAAACATAGAGTTGGACAGACAGATTGTTATATGAAAATCCATCATATCTCTAAACTGTATAAATATATCTATATCTATGTAAAGCTGAACGCATAATATCAGATAACTCAAGATTTTTTTCTACTGTCCTTTCTTCATGAAGACAACAATAATATATATTATTATATAACATGTTTACACAGCAAAATTGTTCTGTTTTCTGATACACGTATTGCTAAATGTAGAAATAAATGACTAGCTGATTTTGCCAAAGAGAAGGTTGAGCATGTGTAAATCAATTTTCAAAGTCATGTGCTCACATTGCAATGCAGTGTGAGATTGGTGGAGAAGAATATGTATGTTTTCCCAGACTTAGATATTGATCTTTTCTACATTTTTTTGTTGGTATTATCGAGGCATTGACATGAGCTCATAGCATCAAGTGTTCTTTTTTATGATGTTGATAACTTCGCAATTTATTCCAGATTTGTCACCACGATCTATGTTATTTCTGTAAAGATCTTATGTCATTATTTGGCATAATAAGGGCTTCCATAGAACATGTGAGGGAATAAATCACTCTTAAATGTTCATGATGTTGAAGATATTCACATTTTCAACTGGATTTCTACACAATAAGTGCTTCCAGTGAACATGCAAAGAATTAAATTACTCTGAGATGTTCAGAGATGGCTGATTGGCAGCTCATTTATAGCACAAATATAACTGTATATTTGTTTGACGAATTACAACGAGCTAAAGTCATACACTGTTACATGATCTTTTTAAAAAAAAGTTTTAGTAAGGTTTTACGGGGCTCGCAACTGCATAAAGTCATATGAGCGCCATTACATGATCTATGAATGTGGAAGTTCGGTGTTTTTTTCCCTTTTCATTCTTTTCGTTTGATAAAGTTTTAAGATACTGTTTTCAGGGTTTGTTTTCAATCTGATCTCACTTGAATTTCACGATTTTTGAAGAAATCTATGAATTCAAGTTTTTCGCAAAATATGAAAGGAGTGCCATTGTATTAGAACACATAACAGTGGATGTTTCAAAACACAAATTAAAAACTTTGGGGAAAAGCAAAGCTCTCAAAAGGCAGCAAAAAAAAAAGCTGCTAGAAAAAACAACAACAAAAAGATGGTGTGCAGTATTCTAAGTGACTCATCAATGGGCTGTTATCCAGTTTCTTGCATTGAACTTTGTTGAACTGTTTGTCTCTGCCTAAATGTATTTGAAGGCCACAATGGGAATATGATGGAAATAACATTGTCATGTTCACAGAAGATCAAATCACCACATTAAAACCACATCGTTGTTTGATTATTTCTCTGTTGTATTTTAAAAAGTGTCTCACAAGCATCTGTGGTCTGGCGGTTATAAGGGGTGCCTATTGGCCTGATTGATTAGGTTCGGTTTGGTTCAGTTCAGTTTGGTAGGCGAGGCTAGCCAGATTGAGGGCATAAAGCGACCATCATGGCACAAACCGTTCACCCGACTCGCAGCCTCTAAAATAAACGCGTCTGTTTTCAGGCCGCGAATCGGGAGACTGGTTGGTGATAGGTTTGTTGGTTCCGTAATGGGCACTGGGGTTTTAGGGGCTTTGCTACTGCATGGAGAAGACATGAGTCTCATTCTCATGAGGGAGAGAATTTTTATTGAGTATCTCAGTCTCTCTGCTAGGGTATTGTTTCCCTTTCAGACCGTTTGGTCTTAACAGGCAGGGTGGAAGCAGCCCACCTCCTAAAGGATAAATGATCTAAATAGTGTCAATGGAGGTGTAAAACACTCGCCATTATGTGACAGAAAGTGTTTCTATCCAAAGACTGAGCTTGTTGTTGGCTGTGATAATTTTGGGAGAAAACTTTAGAAGTTATACACGTGCTGATGACAAGAATCCAGTGATTTCAAGTTTGCGACTGGTCTTTTTTCCTTCATGATCTCCCATCCTTGTGACAATTGATGATATTTGTGTGTGTGTGTTTCTAAGTGTTAGATTGGAACCCACTTGGTAAAATATCAAGGGGAAGACCACGTGGAACCTGGAGAAGAGTCACAGAAATGGATGTACAGAAAAGTGGGAAGAAATGGAGTCACATCAAGCGACTAGCCCAGGATAGGGAAAGGTGGAAAGTGTTTGTTCGTGGCCTGTATCTTGATCCAGGGTGAGAAAGACAATGATGATGATGTGTGTGTGCGTGTGTGTTCATGTGTGTGTGTGTGTATCTGTGGGTGTATGAGTGCGTGGGGTGTGTGAGCAAGGCTTAGTGAGAGTATGTCTTCGAGCCACCTTTTTCTTCCTTGGGCTGCGGGCGGCCCACTTATCTTTGTTTCGTAATCAGAGAGGAAAATGTTGATTGGGAAACAATTCAGCTTTGAAATCTGCCATTTCTCTCTCTTTGTTGTGAAAAGTGAATTGTTGCAGCATACTGCAATGTGTATGTGTCTCTTCATCAAAACCAGCAGTGCACACTCAAACTTCAGCAAGCGCCCAACACCACCCCCTCCCCCAGCAATCCCCGAACCTCCCTCATGACAACGAGCCCATCTGAGCATGTTTGTG